CAGATGTTCCCATCTTTCTTAGGATATATTACATGTTCAGATATTCATACAACAAAATATTCTGGGAGCCATGACATTTTTTGTGAAAATGATCAAAAAAACGCTATAGCGGTGGCTGGCTACTTTTTTTGAAAAATGCTGGCAGGGAAAGAGTTAACAATAGTGGTTGTGCATCCAAACTGATTCTAATATACAGACTTGCGTATGGCAAAATGTTTATCTGAACATTTCCATGGCGGCAACAACCATCAATACTGTTTATTCGCAACAAACTTTCACATTGTGCATCGTTTCCGCTTCATATCTTTGTATGCCTTTAAAGGAACTGCTTAAGATGAGCGTAACCAATGTCTAATGCATATGCAGATTGATATTTAAATTGTTTTATTTTTCTTATTCTCCCTATCATTCAAATATTAAAATATAATACAATGCCAACAATAAAAAATAAATGACGAAAGGAGGTTTATGGTCACCACCACAAAGCGCCCGCGCCCTCAGAGTACTTGGATGTTGTAAAAGAGGTAAAAACTATATAAATACTGTTCGTTTTCTCACACAAACCGCTCATTTCGTGTCTTGGGCCATCAATGTGTACTTACATTTACGAGTCATTAAATCATGTTTAATTTGGACTTCTCTGTGCATGCATGCTCTTTGAGGTGGTGACCATAGACCTCCATTATATGACTGAATCTGATCTCAAAATTGAAAAATCTCAAAATTGAAACTGCTGTGGAAACCAAGACACCTACATCTTGGATGCCCCTGAGGTAAGCTAAAACATATCAAAAATTAATTTCAAAGTGAACTATCCCTTTAAAACTGCTGTTAACACTTTCTCCGACAAGGGGGTTCGATGATACGATAAAGGCTATAATGTCTTTATCCTTCACTTTCACACATATGGGCTGGCAAAATGCAGGCATAAGGGATGTAGTACCTCTCGCCAATACAAATGAACATCTGACTCTGAAACACATTGCAACTTTATAGTGCTGAAAGGAAAACATTGGCCTTGAGTTCGAAAAAAGTCAGTCTCTGTGAAACCCTTTCATCGTATACACACGTATTCACTTTCTGCAGGTGCTACTACGTGTCTAAAAAATGCTTTCGAGGTGGATTTGACTGGGACATCAGCCATTTAAGGAAGAAGTTATTAATATAGACAAATGTAAACCAGTGAATCGTGCACAATAAGACCAGGAACGTGTATTAAGAAAGTAAACAGGGTCAATTTTGATTACATAATGACTTTAAGGTTGGCTGATTGTGTGGCCACAGCTCCTCACACTCGTTAATCATCCCTTTATCTTCCAGCAATTTCAGGAATGAAACTGCTCTCTGTAAGCACTGGAGGCTTCTCTACCATCCCTCTTTCTTTACTGTATTCCTTCCCTTAGGTGCGAGGAACCATTTAAACAGGTCATGGGTCAAAGAGTACAGACTTCCCTTTTGTGTCAGTGAACATTATTGTGGAAAGTTGTAGGGAAGTTTATCTGCTGAAGTATATGAAAAATAATAAAAATAATAAAATACAAACTCAAACTAGCCAAACAACATAAGAGTTTTATAAATCCAATCAACTACTAGACATGTCATTTTCCCACATAAAAACCCCCAACTAAATTATAATTTACATTAACTTGAACGACTTCTTTTTTTTGCTTATTTGTGTATTTTCTTTTTCATTCTTGGAAAAGCCTGTTTCTGACAAAAAAAGCAATTGTAAGATAAAGATTAAAATAATAAATAGTCAATTGTGTGGTATAAAATTGCTATTGTGCAATATAAAGTTGTGGCGGTGAGTTATCCATCAGCAATAAATGTGTGAAAAAAATAATATTTGCATCATACTTGAAAAAGAATATTCCTCCAAATCGCCAACATCCCCTCCCACAGATCCTCCAACACAACCTCCGTTGGGACGGAAAACAAGTTCAGTGAACCCAACGCTGGAACTCTGATCAGCCCCTCTCTCTCGTCCCGCGCACACAATAAGAGCCTCTTTGTGTCCCGGAGGACTGCTGGATCTAAAATTAAGTTAGCCTGTCAAATGACTTCACTTTCTGCAAAACAAAAAGCCAGAGTCCAGAATCAACAACAAAGATGGCAGCTGAAGTGGCTTACGACAGGCAGAAATGTAAACTGCGCAGTTGGAGATTTAAGGGACAGGTGTTTTATATTCTCACTCGAGTGCTTGTGTGTGTAATGTTTCTCTGGCAGAGAGGTGAGCGGCTTATCACGTAGTGAAGAGAGAGATTAGCAAGTATTCACTCGTCGCAACACGGGCCAGCTGGATGCTGCCCGTCCATCTTTTTACGTGTGTGTGTAATGGGAGACTGATAGCGACACCTTGTCACAGAAGTGCTAGTCCGTGCTTATGGTGAACTCACCTATCAGCGAATTCACCTGCAAGTCTTGATGTGAGAAAAGAGGCATACGGGGACAGCAAGAATACAAAAGATTAAACTGGGAGCCGAACACAACAGAAACGCCTGTACACAAAGAGAAAAATTCAAAGGAGACGCAACAAACTTTTAAAGACATTTAGATATCAATCACATGGTATAACTAGAAAAAATAACAAGGTCCTCATCACATTTTTTTCATCATAACAGAAGGAAAAAGAGATCTGGTAGCACAGCTATATTAAATACAATTAACTAAATGACTGGTTGACCTTAAAGCCCCAAAAAAGCATATCCATCAATCATAAAATAATACATACACGGCTTCAGGAGGTTAAAAATAAGTGAAGGGATGCGTTTTTGTAAGAAAAATATGCATGTTTTTAACTAGTCAATAATCACTGGCTACTAGTAACGCGTCGAGTTCCAGCAGAAGAGTGACCTCTGACATATTGATGAACACAGAAGTGCAGAGGATAGACCAAAACAAAATACTGGTCATAAATTATGTCTAAAACCAGATTTTTTTTTTTAGTACAAATAGAGAATTTAGATGGAGAAAATTGCATTGGGCTACTTTTGTTGAACAGAGCTAGCTGGAAACCCTCACAGTTCAGTTAAGGTAACGTATTACTCCCTCCCTTTAAATGAACAGGAAATATTTCACAATAAGACTGTAAAAATGTTTTTTCAATATTTGTTATCACATCATTTTTTCTTTTGTCAAATCAACTTAAATAATTAATTTAGTTGAGATAACTTATCATTTTTAGTTTCTGATAATTAAATTAATCTCCTTCATTGTATTAACTCACTTTTTCCAGTTCAATCAGCTTAAAATTTTAAGGCAACCATGCAAGGTTACTTAAAAAGGTTATGTTAAAAAGGAAATGGATCATCAATATTTGTTTCATGTTCCCTTTAAATTAAGATAATTACAACAAAATAACCCCACCCCAAACTCCAAAGTAGCCTACATATTTTGGTATTTAAAGGAGAATGAAGTCATTATTTAGTCTCTTCACGAACTATTTGTAATTTTGAGGGCATTTGTTTCTAACTCGGCGAACTCAGAGTACGTTCGGTTCTGTCTCCAATTTTTTCCTCCGAAAGATATAACAAACAGACTGCCACACACTACATCAACTCTAAATAGCTGGCAGATGTGAATAGGGAAGAAAATGTGGGGTAAAAAGGAGAGATAAGGAGGGAACGCGGTGAAATTCTCACCACAAAACAAGCACTCATCAACCGTTAGAAGTTAAAGGCGAGCGGACGTAAGTGGGACAGCGGCAGCGTCTGTGAAGAGCTCGCGCTGCATCAAACTATCCCTCGCGCCCCGCAACACTGCACTTTAAGTGAATTACGTGTCCTGCGCGCGCTCTAAACTGATTTCTGCAACACATGCCACGTAACAAATCAAATTTGAAACAACCCAGATAGAGAGGGGGCATAGAAGGGGAGTCAGTCATTGCGCATTCCGATGGTTTAAAAACAGAGACGGAGCGGCGCATGTTTTCAACACTGAGCTCGAGCCATTTCAGTCACATGTCTCTTGCTCATGCACGAGCTGACACTGCGCTGCGGATCATATGCGTTCAATTTAAAGCAATTATTCTGCTATTTAACGCTCTGGTGCGTGAAGTAGCCTATTTTTAAATTATGAAGGCGGTAAAACTAGGATACAAATGTTTCCTTTTGAAAACAATGAATAGGCCTAGAATAGATTTTCAACTAAAATTACATATCTGATAATATCAGATAAAAGATGCATCCGTCCATTAGAATAGAATATGGCTCTTGCCGTTGTCAATATTTTATTATTATTATTATTATTTTTTTGGTCAGTGGTTGGGACAGTGTCGAAAGGGTTTGGATGTAACGTCACACGCTGAATGGTTAAAAATGTCTTGGACACACCAGTCAGCGGAGGGTTAATGTTCTCATAGCCTACTTTTGAACCCCATAGGCTATCACACAACAACATCAAATCCATTGTGGATGCGCGTGCGTGCAACATGCGTTTCAGTAGCCTAATGTTGATGTTGATAAAATATGAATGAGCCTTAAATAACCATGCAAATCAACTGAATTTGTCCTATAATAGAGTTCACCACAAAGCCACAAATGCTCAGTTCACCGAGTATCAAAGTAACCCAAGTTCTTTAGCCAAAGCATGCGCTATTCTAATAATCAGATGTGATATCAGTGGACCGTTACATATGACCACATATTCTCGCAAGGAGTTACACTTAATACAAATTGGTACAATTTCACTCATGCAGTGCAGTCGTGCAGATCAGACAGTCTACGTAACATAACAAAACTCTGATTCGGACTGTCCGATTACGGAGCACTCAACCCAATGTGTTTATTTATCCGATGCGTTTGAGCACTGGCACAATGAATGCAGTTAAAAGCAAAAAAAACAACATTAGCACCATCAGCCCCGTTATCTGATGGCTGATAACACAGCGCGAGGCGAGGCGCAAACACACTACCGCGTGCCCTATTTGTCAACACGCTCGCGCCGAACGAGATGACAGAAGACAGCTGAGGAAGCAAAGAGATAAACAGCTAAACGCTTACATCCTCTCTCCGGCGCTCAACAATCGTCCCTCCACCATCATCTCGGGTAGAAAATCCAGATTGTAGGACGAAGTCATGTTCAGGCTGACCGTGTTGTGCGCCGCGGACTGGATAACGCCCGCCCTCCGCGCGAGCCTGCCTGCCGAGTTTGGGCGCGCGAGACAGAGAGGGACAGGTGCAGCAGCGCGAGCAGCACTGCTGGGCACACACACACACACTAACTGCACTTGTCACATTCTTTTCCTCTCACCCATTAGACTGTTTTTCCTCAACAATCCCTTTAACAACAAAACAAAAAATCCCTTTTCAGACAACTATCGTTCCGGAGCGTCAAGCACCGGGAGCGGAGAGGCGTGGCTGCTCGCGCTGCTGCAGCGAGTTTTTAACCAATGCATCTCTGAGCCATATCAACCGGCCTGTTCTATGAAATAATTAATGGAAGTAGGCTATCTCTCTCCTTTCATTAAAGGGAACACAAAAAAATAGATATTCTGAAGAATGTTCACGCAGCTCCTATCCATACATACAATGGAAGTAGATGGGGACTGGAGCTGTCAAGGTCCAAAATGGACCAACAACACGAAACTGGTCCATATGAATTTGCTGAAAGCATTGCTTTTTTACAATAGGCCAATAAAATTTAAACTTTAAAGTTCAACACCTCCACTCCCATTTCACTTTCATTGTAGCCATCACAAAATAACTCTGTTCTCTTTTGTGTTCCACAGATAAAACAAACAACCCAGTATTTCTCATCTTTGGGTCCAAACTAAGACATATAAACTGACCAAATTTAGATTAAGAGATAATAAATGCCCCTTCTTCATATATTGAAGATTTATTGCATCCGAATATTTACTGCATCGAACGAAGAATTCAATTCGAGGCACATCCCCATTTTACAGTGCTCATCCTTTCATGCGTAAAAAAAAGAGCACATTTTCTTTTTTGTTTTCCCCTTGCATGCCCCCAGGGGAAGGGGGTCTCGAGCCGCAGCTCTACAGAGCACGTGCAGGATCTAGGTCATGGGAAACACTCACGCTTAATGCGTATATATACACACAAATGATGCATGGGGAAGAAGAGGATGTTGTGCCTCGAATTCTGTGGAACATGACTACATAAAATAAGACGATATGCGGCCTAAATTAGCAACCATTAAAAAAGTGCCTTGCCTTGCAGTTTATGCTTTCAAATTGTCCATAACAACATATTACAGCCAAAAGCTTCGGAACAAAACAAAAAGCCATAATGGGCCATGCCTGTCCTTAAAGACCAAGTGCAATGAAGGATTTCAGCTGTCATTAAAAGGCAGTTGCACAGAATTTAAGTGCCATAACCAGCAACAAATGGCCAAATTATACCAGAGGAAAATAGATTCAGCAAATTGTGAAAAACAAAACACGTGTTGTGCTCTGTTATGACCTGTAGCCAAACAAAGTGCTAGTATTTGCATGTGTTCAAGAGTGGTGTTTGTGCATGCAAGGATGCACGATCAATATTTCCTTCTCACTGTAACATTCATGCGAAAACAGAAGACGAAACTAACCCTAGAGCCAGATCCTTCGAGACAGTTTAGATATAGGCTACGATTTCTGTAACGATTTTACACAAATTATTATAATACGCAAGCCGGTGGGTTCATCTTTTCTCCTAAGAAACACTTGTGAATGCCGCCTCCAGCTTGGATGGTCAAGCAGAGGTGACTCATAAAATTCAAAATGAATAAAGTAGGTAACATACAATAATTCAAATCAATGTATACAGGCCTGAAAACCATAATCACAAAATAATACTTCTCACTGACCTAAAATATCAATGTGCATCAATTACATACAAAGCAAAATACATTTTGGTGTGTGTATGTGTGTGTTACATTGTGAGTTCTGGACAGGTTTATAAACATTCCGCTGTTCTCACACAGTGCGATAAATACTACCTTGAGCAAATATACATTACATAATGGATTGTGCAATAAAGAAGCAATTTACGAATGCTCGGCATTGCTGTTACGCATGTTATGAAGATGATAAATTCACTAAATGGGCGTCTATTTGGAGAGAAATTCAACAGTAAACCCAAAGCCTAGGACAGGAATAGGGGTGAACATGAATGAAAGGCTGCAAACACAAAGCTGTCAAAGAATACAAACATCTTCCTTGCAATTTTGTGGCATGCAAAATAAACATTTATAAAACACATTTCTGCTTAAAAAAGGTACATTTCAATACAGTTCAAGCCTTCTTTTTCCATTAAACTCCTGAATTGACTTGAGAATTAAAACATTGTTGGTTTAACTTAAAGTAAGTTACTTGGTTTTCTTAAAATTTTAAGTTCATTGAAATAAAAAATAAAAAAACGAGTTATTTCAATGAAGGAGATAAAAGATTTATCACAACATTTTTCTTTTGTCAAATCTCAACTTAAATCATTTATTTAGTTCAGATAACATATTATTTTGAGTTTCTGATGATCAAATCAATCTCCTTCATTTGTATTAACTCACTTTTTCCAGTTCAATCAACTTAAAATTTTAAGGCAACCAGGTTACTTAATTTTTTAAGTTAAACCAACAATATTTTTTTACAGTGTGATATAGCATACTGTATTATGCCAATAAAGCAATTTTCAATTTGAATGTGATAGCAAATCATGGAAATATGTTTCTACAGTGTAACTACAATAGATAACCAGCCCACAAAACATGCACGGTTTACGGTAACTTTATTTATTGTTGTGGGTTACAGCGTCATTGTTGTTACATGTAGTAATAACTATGAATTATAGATAATTGCATGCAGCTAAACCAAACCCTAATCCTAACACTACAGTAAGTACATGCAGTTAATATTACTCAGTAATGAAATGTGTAATTACAGTGATACCGTGAAATATAGTATAACCTTGTTTACAAGCCTTACAAGTTAAGGACCTCAAACCCAGCAGGTTTTAGGGGCAAACGCAGAGTCAATGTGTCCACTCCACAACTGACTTTTCTGCTGTGGAAAAACACTGAACAGTTCGGTATCAGGCTCTGGCACACTTTACATGGAAAATGTGGAGATTTCTCAGGACATCCATTTTACTGATATCTGGCAGGGTGTAGGGACAATTTACGCGTGGTATTAGGCGGCTTTAGCAGCCCGGAACATTAACTCACACCACAGACCTTCATGTCGCTCCCTGAACATCCTTCAATCTTTCCGGCTTCCTCTTCTCTGTCCTTCTCTTGGGGTTAAGAAGTCTGATGAAAGCACTTAAGGGCTGATATAATTCTCTCTTGCAGAAGATAATGGAATTTAGCCACAAGACGTCTTTCATTTGGGTTTCTTTCTTTCTCGCTGTCGCGCTCTCTCTCTCTCTCACACTCTCAGGTCAAAGGTGTCTCTGTTCTTCCTCATATGATTGTTATTGTTACGTTTTTACCTCTTTCTAGGGTTTTTGTTATCGTCATTGTTTGGTCTTCCGTTTCTCCCCTCCTCTACAGGGGTTTCAGGGTTATAGCCTGAATATTTTTTTCTTGCCGTCAACCTGTTTACTGCACTACCGTTGTCTCGCATTACTGTGAGTAGAGAGTTGCCAGCGGTTATTTTAATGACAGTAGACCATTGCGAACACACATAAAGGTGCAATATGAATAACCTGGATTGTTCCTGCTGGAGTAAGGTGTAACTATATGGTGAACGTTAAGTAGAACATATTCCTGGACCAACTGTCGATCCTGGAACAACATTCCAATCAACCAATCAGATTTGAGGGATATGTTTACAGGTAATGTCAATTATGGGCATACAACAAGGTTTAGGGGCTTCTACACCATTCTTATTCTCATTTCCTTTCAGGCAGCCGCTATCTGATGATTTAGCTAAATCTGTGAATCTTTAGACACACGTAGCTTCACATACTGTATATGATGGTTGAAATATTGTATAGGTAATCTGGTGCATTATATTGATAACCTTCAGCGAATGCAGGGCTGAGCTCTCTGGCTGCGCCCCCCTTCAGCCTGATTTTCTTGGGGTCCTTGTTCTTTGTCTCTCTCTCTCTCGGTCTCACACCTTCTCTCTCTTTCTCTCTTTCTGTATGCCTCTCCCCCTTGGGTCTGGACCCAGCTGGCCTATAACACGTATTGATTGACCATGTAGGAGGAGAGCAAGGAGACAAGAGAGAAAGAGAGAGGGAGAGAAAGGCAAGCCTGGCAGGCTGCAATACACGGAGACAAAAATAGTACACCAGGAGTTCAAACCGCACAGCGAGAGTGTGAGAGAGTGAGAGAGAGAGAGAATAAGAAAGAGTTGGGGGCAGGGAAGGTAGTTAGATGGAGGATAAAGCGAAGGAGAACACACTAAAGATGGCAGATATAGGGCGGGATGTATTAGGGGAGGTCTTAAGAAAACCGAGGAAGCATAGGAGCCACAAAGGGAGGTTCTTGCGAGCAAATTAAAATGACAAATGCGCTCCTTCTCCATCACTGGTTTCAACTGTATTTTTGAAGGGTGGACTTTTTAGATTGGAACGACTAAGCCTAGGAACTGCTGACATCCCTTACAGCACCTCTAAAAAACAAAAGACTCAAACCGGCACAAGTCAGCATAGCCCGATTGTAAAAACGTGCCTCTGGCAGAAATGTACCTTTAAATCCAATTCACTGAAAAGAGAACTACAGGCAACAACTACTTTTTCAACTTATGATTATAGGAGCATGGTCCTGTAGAGAATCGAGGCGAATCAAACACAACTTAATCAAATTAATCTCTCATGGGATTAATTCACATGGCTTCAACACTCCAAGTTCTGGAGCCCACATTCCAGAGTCACGGAACGACTCCGTGCTGTCTGCAGATAAGGACTTTTATTGCCCCACAGGCCCAAGAGATGGGCACTAAACAGGACGAACGTGTCAATATGGTAATTTTACTGAGACAGGTCAACTCCAAAATGGTGGAACGAGAGGCTCACAACCAAGACTCCCTTTGATCCCCTGACAGAGATGTTCCACAGAACACCTTTGCCTCGTCCCCCTTCGAGTTGAACTCTCAGTAACCTTACGGTTGAGATCGAAGATCTCACACATAAAATAATATGAACTCACCACAGAACAATTCTTGGACCTATAACCAATCATAATTCTTGTTGTTCCTACACTTCATGTGTTATTATGCTTAGATCACATAATAATCATGTAATTGTTGTTAACTATTAACTCTTGTAATTGTTATACAACCATTAGAAGTGTGAATGCCTCGTTTGCTCTTAAACGAACCGTATTCTCGTGATTCAAAAGATGGCTTGATTGAAATCTGCGTAAAAGGTTTTGTTT